GTTGACGACGGACACTATGAAGACAAGAAGTAATAGTATATGTGCATTAAATAATTTGGGTTTCAAAAATGGTTCGTTATGGCATAAACTACTGCAACCATTAAAGTAGTATACAATCAATTATCCAATCAACCATCATAATTCAAAGCGTGAATATTAAGGTTATTGTAATAGAGCATATTTATCAGCCATATGTAATTGCTCATAAATGATGTTTTAGTTCAAGTACCATTTACGCATTCAAATTTTATTTTAATACACAAAAATCTTTTATGTCATAGAAGTAATTAAAATGCACATAATATGGTTACATTTAGAACCATTAGTAAAAATTTTGGGCACTATAACCAAACAGACATCTAACTCTCCTTAATTTCTTGCGGTTAGATGTTATTAAGATAATAATTAAGCCTTTAATAATAATATGAATACTTTTCCAAGGATCAGAGATATGGCAGACGCAAACGAAATTAATTGATTCTCATAATCAATTAGGAAGCAAAACTTCTATTCAGTCATTGCCAATTCCGCCATCCAAAGCCAACTAACAACACAAGTTGGTGCATGTTTCAAACTGACTAGAAGAGTCAATTAATTGGTCCGAAAATTATTATTGTCTATGTCGTTTTTTGTGTTCTTACCGATGTCCATTCCCAAAGTCCGATAATATGATTAATCAAGCTTTTCTTTTGGCCCATGCAATAGGCCACTTAAAGTCGTACAGATATAAGCAATTGCATAGTTGACATTTGACAATCAATCATGGATTCATAATAAGCATATATATATATATATATATATATATATATATATATATATATATATGATTAAAGACATCTAACTATCACCCAACCATAACAATTAGTGAAAATATTGTCAATAGCATCGATACGTCATACAAATTTTATCGAAATTGAGTTCCTCCATTACTTGAAATTTTAACAGTTATCGTTAGCGGAAGCAAAATCAAGACCGTCAACATGCATATGTGGTACGAAAATAACGAACCAAATTTTTGAACTCTAAGAATTTTGTCTTAAACTTTATTGCAAAATAAATCAAAATTAAGTGTGACATAATTAATTTACAAGTCATAAATTTTAACCTAACTCTAATGCCACTTGTTAGACATAAGAAGCAAGGTTTTTAGTATGATTTGTAAATTAAAATTAAGAAATAAATTGTAAATTGGTGTACCTTGAGACATTTTGGAGAAGAATTTCACAACTCTTTATCATCAAACTTTTCGATCACCAATGTTGTAAACCATAAATCTTATGCTATTTAACCTTCTCTCACTAACTCTCTGTTATATTATTTTAGTGATGGGTGAAAATAACATATGTCAGAGTGGTGAGAGAAACTAGAAACTCTAAAGTATTTGTAGAGTCACAATCGCTCCCGTAATGATAGATTTTAATATTCTTATCGTACTTCATTTGTTAAATATAATGATAAGATACAATTTAATAATCACTGAAATTATCAGATAAAGTATCACAATAAATATAATACATCCACATACAATGAATATAAGACTCCCTACTTCCTCAAATTTGTCTATCCTAATGGTGTAGGCTACACTAATATTCCAACAGGAAAGATAGGCAATATTCAGGTTTTATTAGACATCTCCAAGCGTCAACATTCAACACTGAGAAAGAGAATCTGTTTATTGCGCAAATTGCAACATGTGCCTGACGTTAACTCCTTGTGCTGGAATTGGATCATAGCTCAAATAGGTGCAAGCTTTGAACAAATGGCAGCCTGTTGGAAATTAATTTGTCGAAATGAAACAGCAATAAAGGAAATTCTTTGCAGATTAGACTGCCATTTCTTCTCGGACACAAGGCAAGCCACAAAAATGCATAGAGACAAAAATGCGTTGACAAGTTGGTGAAAGGTCAACCATTCTCCTGCCGGCAAAATTACAGCTTCTCCTGAATTAGAATCGGTGTCACTCAACCAGATGAACTACGAGTTTGCCTGAGTATCGCTATAGCCTCTCCAGATTGAAGCGGAAACACAGATGAGTACAAGCCGAGAGCAGATAAAAAAAAAACTAGCCAGCTCCGTAGAAAATTGAGCAGAGTGGACAAACTGGTCATAGTAGTTTCTAATTTTGTTAAACCTCGTGCAAATACTTGCACTTGTATCCATAATAACACCTTCCTTGAGCATAGTACCTGCACAGCTGCTTCTTTTCCTTTAAATGTCCTTGGACTATATCCCTGGATGCGTCAAAATTCTCAACCCAAACATAAGCACGCATCTGCTCTGAACTCTTCAGAGGATTATTCATACCACAATTTCTATGATAGAAATCCTTTTGCTGTGCATTCTCATTTTTGGCATATACATGGCTTTTTGTTGAAGAACTCAAAGAATTAGTGCTGCTAATTTCACAACCAGCTGGGGCTCTTGGATGATTTATAACACTTCTGTGGTTTGCGTGTCTGGCATTTTTTACCGCCCCGTAAACTGAGGTCGTTGAATTCTTGAACTTAGTTTGGTCCTCATGGGTTTTCATCCAAGAAGGATGCCCTGGAAGATTGCAATTCATACTGGTAAAAGGTCGCCTAGAAAGATTCCCTTCCAATGGGACATTAGCATCCGTGCAAATTTTAGACCTCATCTGCACATACCCTGGATCTTCTTGCCTAGCAGAAGTTTTATCCTTGAAGCTTCTCAACTCCCAGCATTCCTTCTTCTTAAAATGTTGAGATTGGCAAGTGTCCTGCATGTCCTCTGGCTGCTGTTCAGGTTGTATGTTGTTGTTCAAGGGAATGAGAGAGAGAACATTGCATTTGTTTTCTATTCTCTTCCTGTTTTCTAAAACTGTGTTCTTTCTTCAGTACCCTGACAAAAGGATGAGAATGATGGAAGAGGATCAGTCAGAGGTTTAGATAATATAAAAAAGTTCCTTCTATCTCATCATTTTTTACAAAAATGCAAATTTTATTTTTCATTAAAACCTAAGAACATTGTTACCTATCTGACTTCAGCACTTTCCGCATGTCTCTTTCTAGCACACGAGCTTCCCTATTTGAACGAGCAACAGCACCTCTAGCATGCTTTTCTGACAAGATCCTTTTCCTTTCCTCTTCATCTTCCCACCTCTGACAGTAGGAAAACAAGGTAAAAATTGATGCCTGACATATGAATGGAGAGAGATTAAGATGCTTTATTGTTTGCAAACAAACCTGTCTCATTGTTGTTAACCTATAAAGATTTCTGCCCTTGATGAGAAGGGGATGAAGTGGGGTAGCGATTTCTCTCCTTTGCTCCATAGTACTTCAATCTGAACAGATTAGTCAAGCAAGTTAGATTCACACAGCATGATAATTTCATTTTGAACTCAGATACCCTGCAAATTGTTGTCTTACAGCTGGTAAGCATGATGAAGCCATACAGGAGTGCGGCTTTTAGAACAATAAGAAAACCATTTCTTTTGATTTAATAGGATTCCAAGGTGAACAGTCAGCCCCTCAATTTAGTTGATATCATACATTTTCGATCAGTTTCCTAAGCCTACTACTCCACCAAGTTGAACAACTACTCAGCTCACCGTAAAGGTATGTTGTTGCTTTGCAGCACCATAACTCTCTTTTACTATCCTGCCAGCAACCAGTCGAGTCCCGCAAGGGGCCCACTTGCACTCCTTGAGGCAATGTTGAACCTGAAAAGCAAATAAAGACCAAGTCTAAGAATCTGCATTATTCTCAACACACAGATTCAACAGAATTTATAGTAGGCATTATATAAATATCAAGTAATACATTCTCTGCTGGGTTAATTAAGTGAGATACTACTTGACTAAGTATTTTCCTGGAGTAATCAAGGTTAAGCTCAACAATTCTGCACAATTAAGATTGCCATACTGAGAAATAGAAGTATGACTCCATCTCTTCAGAGGGCTTACATTCCATATACAGTTTGTTTGAACAGGATGATGTCACCAGTGCATGCATCACCTGCATGAGACAGAAACTTAAACTCAAAAACAGACAAAAAGATGATTTATGTTATCCAATCCTTAATACACACATTAACAAGAGAAATGCTACCCGTTAAAATCAAATCGTAATCCATTATAGGAAAACTAATTAAAAATGGCAATAAAGTTGGGAGCCTTTCAAAGTTCAGTGCAAATTCATAATGGTAAAATCAGCTATTATCATCAAGAATATCATGATCTCTCTAATTTCTAATATATATATATATATATATATATATATATATATATAAGCTAATAACTTACAACTATCTAAGTAACTATAAAAGCAAAAATTCTGATGGTACGCACCTTTGCAGTTCACAAGAAAACTAGAAGCAGGGTACTTTTTCTCCCCTCCACCATTGAGGATACTGAAACATATGCTAGAGCTGGTAAATTAGACTTCTAAACTAGGAAAACTCAAAAATGGTTCAACATTAAGTAGCTCATTCAATGCGGGGACACAGGTATGAACAAAAAAAAAAAAAAAAAAAGAAAATGGAAAGCAGAAATTACTCAAGATGTTCTCTAATACGCTGAATAAGGGTTTCTTTGTTGCCCGTTAATCTCAAACATGTTTCCTCAGATACACCTTGCACTGATCCACTTTAAGCTTCTCCAACTGACCAGCTGCCAGAAAGCATGTATCAGTATCAGCACAAACAACGCATGGAACAACATATAGTCCCGAAATAAATGGACTAATTATCATGATTGCACTGTACTAACCTCCAATGACCTTTTGAATAGTCTCATAACCTTTTTGATCTTCTCATCAAGTCCGGGAACAACCACTTCTGTAACATCTGGGTCACCTTTCCCTCCGCATACTTGATCATTTCCTTGTCAATACTAGATTTTGACAGGAACCCGTTTCGAATACTCAGGAAAGAGTCAATAATGAAAATGTGATTGACACATTTGAGCAAACACGCAGTAGGCCAAATAAAGACATCATTATTGTTTTTATTCATGGAAAATAGCAAAAAGGAAAACGAATTACCCAAGATTGGATTTTCTCCTAATGGACAGCCCGGAAAAGCTGGATCGACTTTCTTCAAGAATATCAAAATCTGGGTCTTCTTCGGAATCATCAGAATCATATCCATCACTATGGTCTGATTCACCATTGTAGTTTTGTTGCTCAAGAAGCGCCATTTTTGGTCTATATTTTCCTTTAATCAGTATCAGCCGAAGCACTTCTAAACAACGTTATCTCTTGCAATGAGGGATAATCGTAATTGGGGTTTCCACCGGCCTGCAGAATGCAATGAAAATTCAAGAAAAGGTGGGCGCATTCATCTCAGGATTTGAATACAGGAATGACCGTTGCACTGCACACCGTTCTCTTTGACATCACTGTACGCTCTTATTAGCATATTGAGATCATCTAGTATCATCCACATATCTAAATACCGGAGGAGAAATTTATGATGCTTAAAATCACTTCACGATGTTCAAATCCCAAACATTTAGCAATTTTGACCCCACCTTTAATTTTCTATTTCTACATCATATTGACTGTTTCTAATCTTCCAAGGTGCCCCAGCTGGACTTGTCTGGAAAAATGGAAGAATTTGCATTCCTACTAGTTATAACATTATTTGCTGTTATTCAGGTTCTAGCATGGTATCTAATTTAATTGGTGACAGATATAAATAAGCTAGTGTTATTTATCCATATGAGTCCCTGCATCTAAAGGTATCACCAGTCTCCATTGAACTAACAGGTCTTAGAATGGTGCAAAAGGATTCTCATGTTTGGTCGAATTATTTCATTCTAAACATTTCAGGATGAAGCTTGTAGATCTTCTGATCATGCACTACTGGCGCATCCTGGTGGATTGACGGAAAGTTCAAGAAAAACATCTACTTCTGGCACACCATGTCAGTTTGATGGTATGCCAGCTTCAGATCAATTGTGCAAGCATAATCATCAGCAACACTTGCCATTTGACATGGGAAACCTTAATCTGATGCATAATTCATCAGTACAAACACATGGTTCAGGTCACTCACCATCCTACAATTCCAATTTGGAGAAGGCTTTTGCTTCAAGAGATACTTGGATTGATCCCAAGTGCAAGCCCTTACATGTGAGGAGAATGCAGAGGGACCAAACACAGTATGCAGAGGAAGGAGATTCTAACTTACCAAATTCAAATTCCTCTAGTGTTTCTGATGCTGCCAGCATTGGCAAATCATCTCCATTAGCTAATTACATTATAAAGGGCAGCACTTTTGAGAAGGGCAGTAACCATGAGGAAAGTTCTCATGGGAAAATGGGTATGAATGACATACCTGAAGATTCTAGATTCCATTTTGACATCTGTCCATCTGGATCCGTTATCAAGCTAAAAGCCCCGCTTCATCTCATGAATAGAGAAAAGAGGAATGAAACTAAGCGCAACACAGGTGGACTCTGCATTACATCATTGAGGCCTGGGATGATTTTGTTAAAGAATTACATTTCCTTCAATGATCAGGTGCAGTAATGTGGCTTTCTGACTATTTGTCTACATATCTTGTGGTGTTCCTTCTTGACGTGAACTTCTCTATTTTATGTCCATAAAATTTTTCAGTCCTTGTAATGCATTAAGTCTCATTATTATGAATGAATGCATCACGTTGATTTGAATTTTTATGTATCCAAGTACTTTTCTTTCTGCAATTTTATTTGCCCTCATAAAATTGTCTTAAGATACATTAGAATTCGACAATTGAAAATTCTATTTCATTCACTTTGCATCTTGCTTCTGGGAAATGCTTCTACAACTAAGCCTAGATTGTGGAATAAAATATGTATCCCATCCCTATCCAACTAGGTCAAATCCAAATTTTGAGCATAAATATAAGGAACCACAAAAAAAAAGGGAATATTGCTTTACAGATGAACTACTATTTTAGCGAAACAGTAATTAGCTGATGAAAGGCTTTGCTCTGTTTAGCTTGACGGTTTTATATCAAAGGAGAGCCATGTCTGTGGCATTCTTCTGTCAATCTGCACAATGCTAAAGAATTACAGCTTCTCTGTGAAAACAATGATAAGTTTTACATGTTTTCATGGAATTAATTATTAGGAAGTTAAATTCCATTTTTTCATGAATAAATTTTTTAACACAAGTTCCATGGATTTGGGTATTTGCTACTCTCTAGCTTCCCTTCTTTGCTGATAGACCTTTTTATTTGTCTGTCTAGGTTAAATTGATAAAGAAGTGCAAGGATCTTGGACTGGGTCCTGGAGGCTTCTATTTACCTGGCTATCGTGATGGAGCAAAGCTGAACTTGAAGATGATGTGCCTTGGTAAAACTTGGGACCCTGAGACAAGTACTTATGGCGATGAAAGGCCTTGTGATGGCTCCAAACCTCCCATTATTCCTAAAGAATTTTGTGACTTGGCTAAAAGGGCTATAAAAGATTCCCATGCACATATAGAGAAAGACTCCAGAAAAAGAAATGTGGAAGATGTTTTACCCTCGATGTCGCCTAACATCTGCATAGTCAATTTCTACTCAACAAGTGGCCGCCTTGGTCTCCATCAGGTTCTATCTTAGCTCTCTGTCCTATACCATTACCAATTTTCTGGACCAACTCTATGTAGATGCGACACAGTTATTTGCTTTCAAAAGTATACTTCGGACTTTAATGGCTCAAACAATGAGAAAAAAGATGGTGATTCTTTATTTGCTTCGGCCTATTATAAGATTGCAGTATAATGACATCTAAGACAGAGGCAAAGCAATTTATCATATTCTCTAGTTGAACAACACTAAATATATTTTTTGTGCATGTCACTTGCAACTGTACAGGACAAAGATGAAAGCCAAGAGAGTCTTCGTAGAGGAGTGCCCGTGGTGTCCTTTTCAATTGGTGACTCTGCAGAATTTTTGTATGGTGACCAGAGAGATATTAACCAGGTGGAGAAAATCAGACTGGAATCCGGGGATGTGCTGATATTTGGTGGTAAAGCTAGGAACATATATCATGGTGTCTCAACTATTTTTCCAGACACAGCTCCCAAGGTTCTGTTAGAAGAGACAAATTTGAGGGCTGGCCGTCTGAATCTCACTTTTAGAGAGTACTGACGACATTTTTTGTGGGTTGGAAGCTGGATCAATTCTTTGAACTCAACTGAATTGTAAACTTAAATCCTTTCTATGTCCTTTGATGTATTCCTGCAAAGACAGGAAATTGGTAAATCGCCAAAAAGAAAATTTGCAAGAACTTGAGAAAATCATGGTTGCTTAGATCTAAAGGAAATCACGTAGCCTTCGGTTTGCATGGCTGCCAGACTACCATAATTGTGAAGCTGAGAGCATCATATGGTTGTTTTCTTTTTTTGGTGCAAATCTGCATGACATGCTTATTGACTGATAGAGCCATAGACATTAATTGGGGAGATCTATAAGAATAAAGTAGATCAATCTTATGCTCGAGTCTGGAGACTGTTGAAAGTGTTGATACAATGCACTGAATGGGCTATTGTGTGGCAGAAGCTTTTGTCGGGATTACATTCCACTGGTTGCATTGTAGGAGTTGGAATACTCTCTAGAATAATATACAGGAGGTCCCCAGCCAGTGAAGCTGTTCTTTTGGGGATCAGGAGTCAGCTAAATCCACCTCATGCTCGCGGAAAATGAATAAACACACGAAGCCTAAGAGAGTGACAGCTGAATCATGAAATGTTGGACTTGTGCAATAGCTCAGAGGTATGGGCTTCAGAATGAAGCTGACATACCAATGTAGGGGTCGACATTCAACACCAAAGAAACCCCTTCTTTCTTACAAATTTGCATGGGTTTAAGACCTCAAGCAACGCGAAGAAGAAAATGGTAATAAAAATGTGAACTCATAGGCTCACCTTATAATATCAGTAATGGCGCTCTTACCTTCTTGTTTTTTTTCTTTTTGGTACAAATCATAGGTATTCGCACCTATTTTGCGGTCTGCGACAAATTTTATTCGAGTCGGATAGGGCTCTTTTCAGGGAAGGAAAACTCTTCCAATACTATTTTTCTATTTTTTATGGATTTCAAACCCAAAATTTCATGATTAAAGAATGCAAACTCCTTCCACTCCCACTTGCGCTCTTTCCTTCACGGTTCTCATCACGGACTTTCTCCTTCTTGTCTCAGTCACCATCCCATTAGTTCAAGCCGCCAATTCCAAAAATGCCTTGGCCTCTCCCTCTGTCCCGTTGCAACTTACAATGTGATAAAACGATGATATGTTGGATGTTTTGTGTTGAAGTAGCTCCAGTTCAAGAGTGATATGATCGCAAACTTCTGACGGATTTTTCAGGGACATACTTCTCCACGATGTCTAGTTAAATGACCACGGCAAGTGCTATCTTAACAGCCCCCAATGGCTTCCTTGAAATGTCTAATAGTAGTGCTTAATACGGTTGATGCCTTGGTTGGAAACCCTACTTGTGCTGCTCCCTTGCTGCATGATCAGAGAAGAGAGAGCAAGCGAGAACTGAGAAACGATTACCATTACAGAAGAAGTTTCACATAAATGCTTTTCTGCACGTTCTTAATTCTTATTTGTGCTTGTTTTATTATGTCTAGGCAAGACGCTAACCAAACGTTTGATTGATCTTTGATCGCTGTTTGCCCCCCAGTTTACGTAGTAGGGCTGTCTTCCATAATGAAAATTTTGTCTGCCGCTACATGTGTATATATTGAGTGGAAATGAATCTGTTATTGATTTTTGATGGAATGATATCACGTACCATCAATGGACAGCATTTCCAGCAAGTTTTGTTTAGGTAACGTTTTATACCCAATGGAAAACTAAGAAAGTCCCTGCGAAGTGGGAATTTCAGTTTCAGCACAGGCTTTCATTTCTATCGTACTGCGAAGTGTGTATTCCTTCCTCCGTGTTTCTGATTTTCGTTTTCCTCTGTTATGCGTCTTTTATTTGGTCATTCAAGGATCTCATGCTAAGTGCTTTGGTTAAGCTCTTATATTCGGCGGCGACTCTTAAGCTTACAAGATTTTCTGCTAATATTTTTAGCCAGAGATGCCGCGGCAGTCTCAGAACAATCATTCTCCGATGCATCTATTATGGGCTGCGGTTGGTGACCGGCCTTTGCTTCTGTAATGCTTGTAACGACTAACGAGGGCACTAAACACATCTGAAATATTAGCGTAGCAGATCGAGTAGACCACAGGACCTCCAGCTCCTTGCATACAGTGAACTACTTGCTGCTTTATTGACTCCCTTTTTGGCAGCCAAACTTCAACAGTCCCCGTACCAAAATCGCCGGGCAAAACTTCCATCCATGCATCACTGTACATTTGCTTGAAAAGGAAACCATTTGCTCTTTGATTGATTCTTGTCTAGTAGATTACACCAAAGCAGCAAGATCAACTACCTAGCCAACCAACGAAACACAATTCCCCAACCAACAATTGTCTTTGTCTACGCATTTCCTAGACAGCAATATATAATTCATAAGTGCATCATGCACATACATATTCCCTCGGCATACAACTTTTCCTGCGGACTTCGGACCGCAGAGAAAACATTCTTGGTTCTACTGATCGTGTCATTTCCTTTAACCATTTTTGGTCCTTCTTTTAAAGGATTTGGTATTTTGTGCCAGAACTAGAGGAAAGATGTCGAGTGAGACGAAACGAACTATTCAAACGGTGATCAATTTTTTTTTTTTTTTTTTTTATTTGCAGTTGGAGAGGAGAAAATCAAATACGGGTAGCCCAAGGTGGAGAAGCAGGGCACATGCCAAATTTCTGGGACCTTGATAGAAAATTTTGCATGTGCCCTGATCCTCCATCTTGGGCCACTCCTATATTAGGCCGTGCAACTCCAAAGCCAGCAGTTCAGCAGAAATGTTTTATTAGTAAAGGTCAGTTTTTAAACTTAGCTCACATTGTAGTGCATTGAAGCTATATCTACACACTACAACAATATTAAAGCACTTTCCTCCACTGACATTACCTTGTATGTACATAATTGTTGAAGGAAGAGTTTGCTGCCAGAGATGAATGGTCAATCATTGTGACCTTGAATAACTTATTCAGGTACATAAATAGTTGTGCTTGGCAATCAGATAGATCAAATAAGAGTTGATAGGGTGAAATTTAGTACATGTTCGACTTACTCTTCTTTCATCACTTAGGATCTTATCGGCTTTCCAGAGCTACTGCAGCTGAATCGACATGACGAAGCAAACAGGAATAAATTTTTTGCTTCAATCTATCAACAATTTCGCCCAACTCCTTTTTCTCTGAGTCTGCATCATTTCTTAGTTGATCCAGCCATTCGTTCGCATGCTTAAGCTGTGACAACGTGAGAGCAATCTGGTTACCAGGATCTGTTTGGTTTATAAGATAATCCTTTCCCTTTTTGTTCTGTTTACCCCCTTGGAAGCCTGAATCAAGTGCCTCTTCCAAGAACTTCAAGAACCAAGCTTGTGTTTCATTTAAAACAATCTCTCTTAGTTCCTTGATTTCCTTTGAACCATCTACATTTGCCCATTCGAGTTTATCGGTGCCAGTCAGATCTGTGGAAGACTTTGAAAGTTTCATCCTATCTCTACTAACTGAGGAAGATATCCTTTTGCCATATTTGTCTGTATTTTGCATGGATGAGTTGACGGTGAAATGATCTGGTGTATCCTTTGATGAGTTTGTGGCATTTGGATGTTTAATAAGCTGGTGGAGCGTAAAGAACATTGAAAGATAGAGATGGGGGTTCGTTGGTGAAGCGGATGAGCAAAGATCAGCAAAGATACTGGAAACACAGAATGCATTATGTTCCCAGAAAGTCTGAAGATGATCTTATGTAATTCTTAAATAAGCAAACATTTTAGGCCTTCTGTCTACTCAATTTACGTACTTAATGTCGAATTTATTTTTATTTTTGCCAAAAGCAAAGAATAAAAGGAACAATTATCTGTAACTACCTGAGGCACTTTACCAGATTTGCTGCTGTGGAAGCTTCTTTCTGGGCTTCAGCTGCTACTGAAGAGGCCAAGTTTTTCCTCCGAAGCAATCCCTAGGTGTAAAAGTTGAAAATGAGAATTATATCAAGATGGTAAATTGGTACTATTTTAGCAATTTTTTATCTGTATGGATTATATGTTTTAGCAGCTATATCCTATTACGACTAAATGCCTTCTCTCTGTAGATAATTCGCATTTTAATGATAAAAACATCGGATGTTTGAGTTCATACGAGTAATCAAAACTATGAAAAAGGAGCAGCATATTGGGCTACTAGATAGGGTACTTGATGTGTGTGTGTATATATATACCTTGCCAGGCTTCAGCAGGTTTGCAGGTAGATTTGACCAACATATTCCCTCAGAAGATTGGTGTTTGTCTCGACTGTTAGGCAAGCAATTCGAGTCGATGTTTTCTTGTTTGCTGCTGGTGTGTTTGATAGCTGGATATTTAGAGGATGCAAAGGCCTCCTTGCCGTTTAATGTGTCAATGTCTGAGTTTGTAGTAAGTCCATCAGGGCGAGTTCGTGAAGGAGTCAGAGTTCGAGTCTGTAGGGCAAATTTCAACCATCAGTCTTGTCCAGATTAATGAGCATATGAAAGTGAATCCAAGGTTGAAGAAAATAGACCTTATTCTAACATACTGATTCTCGTTTTCTGTCAATTGTATCATTTTAATCACGGACGTTCAAAGTAGGACTGGTACAGACAAACTGCTAGATTGCAATTGTTCCCTCACGAAGTATGATCATTAAGGCATGAATTTCCTTGCTTCTTTCTCATCAAAGCAAAACTAGAATCCTACCGAGTAATGCAATTAATGTTTACTCTGTCATCCAGACAAAGCACCGGAACAGAGAACATACGCTACAAATTAGAAAAGCACGTTCATCACATGGTTATTTGGTGGTGATCAATTTCTTGTAAATCTATGCATTCTCAAAGCAGAAAATTTCTTATGAATTAAGACTGTCAAGGGAATTCCTAAATTTTGAGACAGTAAAAAGTCAGAAAATACACAGATGGTTCTAAGTTAGTGATGTCAAAAGAAATGAAATGCAAAGAACGATTGTACTTGTACCCCATTACCTCTTGCTAAGTTGGATATAAACAACTGAAGGGCAGTACACTATGTTGGTAAGGAAATTATTTATACCTGAACCTTGATCTCTGCTTGTTTCCCTTTCAAAAATCCATTCCTCTTTCCTGCTACAGCATTCTCACCGCCAGGGTCAGCTCCATTTGCTTTTCCATTTGGTGTCAAGACACCCTGCATATACCTTGAGGAGACAACAGCCTTGTCCTCTTTAATAATAATTTTCTTTCTTTGGCCATTTTCT